CTTTTCTTTAGGGGTGTGAAGGAGCGTCTAGTCGCAGTAGTCTCGATATTGCTGGCTCCTCGAGTTTTCTGGCTGCTATCGCTGTTGTTACTTGCTCTGTCAGGAGGATCTTGTAGATCTCCTCCCTGCAGCCAATTTCCATGTGCGAGGTTTGGGAGGCGCTTCTCGGGATAGAGCGCGTATTGCCTTTGGCACGTACCGCTAGCTAGGTACGGCTGGGCATGCTACTCTTGTGCCCCCTCTGCGGCCAGACATTTGGGAAAACGGTAACGGGTCCTCTCATTCCCTGGGGTGGACGTCACTAGGTGTTAGCGGCGATCGTCCACGTTCCCTTATGGCGTCTGTTCGGCGGTTCCTGGTGATTGCTGAGTGTTTTGTCTGCTCTCCTCTCCGTCCGTAATGTCGTGTTATAAGAGAAGTTAAGATACAAAAAGAGTGTCAGTTTATACAAGATACTAGAAATTTTAGTAGGATCCATGGAGTGTTTTGCCGTGATGGTATTTAGAGTGCCTGGCGGTAATGTGTCACGCCTAAAAACGCGAGAGCTACCCTTGAAATGTGACGGCAAATTTTGCCACGTCACAATATATATATTCTTTACGCCACTGTGCTTGTTAGCCGTCCACGAAGTAGCTATTTAAAAAATAATAGTACAAACTTTACAGTTTTCAGAAAATATTGGTATCAAGCTGAAAAAGTTGTATTTTATTGGTTATTAACAATTTAATTGTTTATACGACGAACCTTGGTTGATAAGATTATATTTTATGCTTTTCAATGTAAGAACATTTAACGCCTAATACGAGATTCGTATCACTAGTCAGTCACTCCTTAGTTTAGACAATTAAATTGTGAATAATAAATTAAATATAACTTTTTCAGCTTAGTGCCAAAACTTTCTACAATCTGTACGCATTATATTATTATTTTTTTAATAATTAGCATAGACTGTCGCAGAGACTAATATTGCAAACGTAACGGAATATTAGAATATTTTTTACAAGGAGAGACTCCATCAATCGGATTTTTAAAATCTTTTTTACTCATGGTACGTGAAGTTGAGAACTCGAATAGTAATTTCCCAAAGCAGTTCTATGTCATATTTAAAAATTCTCAAGAAAAGCGACTTTGAAGTTTTGTGAGTTGTATATGCACCAAATGTGTCACAATATTCAAGCAGGCCGTTTAACGCACCCGGTAACGCTCGAGCCTAGCGACCGCGGGGTCGGTGGTTCGAGTCTCACTTGTAGCTTTTTTTCCCATCCAATTCGCATAATTACGTAATTTCAATATAAAAATCACCAGATCTATACCAATTCACAGATATGTAATTGTAATCTTCAATGAAAATCGCGCGTTTTATTTTTAATTATCTCGAGCTTCAAAAATTGCACTTTTGAATGTAAATATCAATGTTTAGCTACCAGTACTTACAACAACCAAGATTTTTAAAACGGAAATGAAAAATGATGGAATTCTCTTAACTATAAAAGCAACATGATAAGAAAAGTAATGGGGTCGTACTGAACGAGCACACCATAATAAAAAAAATTTCTTCCAAATTTTCTGAAGTGTCTGGCACCCTTTGTGAAGGAACTCCCAAATACGGCAGCCATGACGCTCCTGTCAGAGCTTCGTACTTTCGCCACCAGTCAACGCTCGAGTCAACACCAAACTTTTTCCAGCCAGACACCAGACTTAATCGGTTATTCTGTCACCATTTATCCTTTGTTATTTCGTGTTTCTTTGAGTGCCATGGAGCAGCACGTGTATGAACTGGTTGAACTTATGTAGTTAATGATGTGCTTACTGAAATGATTTTTGTAGGAGGTAGTCGTAGCCCAGGGGTTAGGGTAGCGGTATCTTGATTTGGGTAGTAGTTTTGACGTGGAACACAAAAGTATTATGTCTTACAAGGCGACGTTGGTCACACGGATTTCGGAGTTCTTTTGGGTTAGGAAAGTACTTTGTAGTAACAAACTACAGGCTAATCGGCAGAATCCAACGCGGAGCCGTTTTCGAAAAAAAGCGGTTTAAAAAACGCAGCACTATTCAAAGTGGCGTAGCTCGGTGCAGCGCGACTAACCACCACCCGAGCGGACAGGGTTCGATTCTCGACCACAAATAAATTTTTTTTTTATATTAATTCATCTCTTTTTTTGCTATCCGACAGCCCATATTTATCTACCAACAATTTTGTCAATTTACGTACGAAATGAGTGGATTGAAACACTATTATTTTTCATTATCAAACACTGATTTATATCACGCATCATAGTTTTGTCTCGAAAATTGATTGAAGAAAGAGTTATATTATTAAATGTAAACGAAGTATACTTTCCTCTGTCGCTTTCGAAAAAACATTGCCAGTGCGACGACGTTGCATTCATAAAATGTGCGTGGTGTGAAAACAATTTATGTTTTTCATGCTTTTATGATAACTACCACCCGAATAGATGCAACGGCTGTACAGAAAATAACAGTGATAGCGACTAATAAACAATAATTGTCAACCAAAATACGCTGTGAATCTTTATAAAATTTTGTAATAAATCAGGGTTTGATAATGAAAAATAATAGTGTTCCAATACACTCATTTCGTTGGTAAATTGACAAAATTGTTGGTAGATAAACATGGGCTGTCGGGTAGCAAAAAAAATGAATTAATATAAAAAAAAAAGTCTATTTGTGGTCGGGAATCAAACCCTGGTCGCTCGGGTGGTAGTCAGGCGCGCTGTCACGGAACTACGCCGCCTTCTCGGAAACATTAGTATCGATGCAGGTACATGAATAGTGCTGCGTTCTTCAAACCGGTTTTTTTCGAAAACGGCTCCGCGTTGGGTCCTCCCGATTAGCCTGTAGTTTGTTACTACAAAGTACTTTCCTTCCCCAAAAGGACTCCAAAATCCATGTGACCAACGTCGCGCCCTCCCCTTGTTAGAGGACTAATTTCTTTAGTTTCCAAGATATTGATTTTTTAAGATTATATTGTAATTGACTAAATTTTGATTTTACTCGACTTTACCTCACTTCCATTCCTATGATTTTTCTTAAAATTTGGTATTTGACAATTGTTAGGAATGCTAATCTTTAATCCTAATTAAAATTTTTATAATTCAAAACAGCAGATCTAATTTGTCAGGTCACAATGCCAAAAGATTACTAGGTTTTGACAAAACTCGGTATAGGAATGTATTTAAAGTCGCTGAACACGAATTTGACTTCGACATTCAATATAAATCTATATACATTATGACGTGGTTATGAGGTGGTTATTTTACCCAGGGTCTCTTAAGAGCAACAATCACAATTCGGGGGGG